AGTCAATCAGAGAAAGACAAATACTATATGATGCCACTCATATGTGAAATTTAAGAAACAAAACAGATGAACATATGGAAAGAAGGGGAAAAAGAGAAGAAAGCTAAACAAACCACAAAAGGCTACTAATGATAGACAAAACTGAGGGTTGATAAAGGGAGGTGGGTGGGGGATGGGTATTAAGCAGGGTACTTGTGGTGAGCACTGGGTGTCATAAGTGAATAACTAAATTCAACTCCTGAAACCAATATTGCACTGTATGTCATCTAAAATTTAACTTAAAAAAATCAAGGTGTTGACTTTTAAGTTGTTTCAAAGTTATAGCAAGTTAGCAAATGGGCTATTCGAAGAAAGTACAAATGTCCAGACTTGGAAAAAAGCTGGACCTGTGAAGTGATGGTTTTAGAGCTGTAGCAGTATAAATAATGATGTGTATGTATTGCTTTACAACATTTTTATGTATTTTATCTCATTTGATTCTTTTAAAAAATATTTTTGAGTATAGTTGACACATGGTGTTACATTAGTTTCAGGTGTACAACATAGTGACTCAACTTCTCATACCTTATGCTATGCTTGCCACAAATGTAGCTACCATCTGTCACCATACAATGCTGTTATAATATCACTAACCTTATTCTGTATGCTGTGCCTTATTTGACTCTCTTAACAACTCTGTGACGTAAGTGGGACTGTCAGTCTGGCCTTGCTCTATAGGCCAGTAATTCTCAAATTTTAGTTGGGAGCAGAATCACTTGGAAGGCTACTAAGTGGTTAACACTGGTAGTTAAATGCTAGGCCCTTTCCCTAGATTTTTCTCAGTCTGTAGGTATGGGTTGGGGCCTGAACATTTGCATTTCTAACTTATTCATAGGGTACTGTCTGGAAACAACAGCTCTAAGCCACTTTTTTTTTTTTTACATTCTTTGTAAACCTAGAGTTGACCTTGTCACAGTCTTGAATAATAGCTTCGCATTGCCCTCACAATAAAATCTAAATTAGAAGGTTCTGACTGATCTGACTCCTGTTTACTTCTATAGCTTTCTCTCTTTCTTTCTCTCCAGCCATACTGAAGAACTAGCAGTTCTCCAAAGAAGTTGTATTAGTTTGCTGGGGCTGCCATAACAAAATGATTAACAAGGTAACATTACATGTTCCACCTTTCAAGAGTATATATAGTATTGTACAAATAAGATAGCATGCTTGTAGTGTTACAGACATATACTATGTATGCAAAGGTTTCTGGGGGAAAGGAAATATAGCTTCTGTTATGAGCTGAATTGTATACTCTCAAACTTCATAAGTCCTAACCCCCAGCACTTAAAAATGTGATGATATTTGGAGTCAAGAACTTTTAAGAGGTAATTAAGTTCAAATGAAGCCATTAGAGCAGCCCTAATCCAAACTGACTAGTTTACTTATAAAAGAAAACTTGAACACACAGACATCATCCGGGGTGTGCACATACAGAGTTGTGATCATTGAGGACACAGTGAGAAGGTGGCCACCTATAAGCCAAGAATAGGTCTCAGAAGAAACCAGCCCTACTGTTGCTTTGATCTTGAACTCCTAGGCAGTCCCAGCAAACTAATATAAACCTCAGATTGAAAAAATCAGGTCTGAGGGACATTATGGACAGTGCTCAACTCATAGGAGGCATTAAAATATGTCTCTTGGATAAATAAATGTCTTAAAGTCACATAGCAAACTTTTAATTTTCAAGATTCTCCTTTATGAGGCTTTCTTGAGCTACTAACCAAGTCAGACTTAATGTCCCTATTTTAGCATCTCCATACTATTCTGTTCGGGCTATTTTCATAGTACTTAGCCCAGCATATTATAGTAGTTGGGTACTTTTCTCAGTGTATCCTTTTCCTCAGTGCTGAGCACAATATTGGGCTCATCATAGTTGGTGGTCCATATCTGTTGAAATGGATGGGTTAATCTCAATCCATCCAAGTAGGGGAAAAAAAAACTACACAAAGTGAAAATATAACATCCAGTTATACTGGCTATATTAGGTTAAATCGTAAGAAATTAGGATTCGATAATTTCAAAACAAGGAACAGAAAACCTCCAGGACTTTTATGGAACATAGCCAATAAAAATCTAAATGTATTTCTCATCATCTTGTTATTCATTTTTTGTACAATGTTTGTACAATGTTTGACACATGCCTGTAAGGCACTAAGGTGTTGGAGCTTACAAAGGTGAATAAATGAGCTTTGCTCCCTGTTAAAAAAGATAAATAGCTGAAAGTGGTATCTGACTTGTCCCCACTCACAGGAATTGGTGAAAATATGGGGGACATCAATACATCACTTAAGTCCAATGGCTTCTAGCATATTCTTTCAACATTTTTTCCACTTTCATTACAAAACATTTAGTAAAGACAAGGATATGTAGTCAGTCTTGTCTGGAAACTTTGGTGACCCTTGACAGGTCCCCATTCCTGCGTGTGTCAGTTTCATCTGTTAAAGTAGGATACTAATCACACATTGTAAGTCTGTTTATTGGCACACAGGCTAAGACATAGAAATTGTCATAATATTCCAAATTAGAAAATTTTACCCTACTTGCTTTCAAAAGGCAAAAGGGTCCAACACAATTTTGGGGAAAACAGCCTGTTCATTTCTTGTGAAGGACCATTGGACTGATATGGCCACTAATACACAGTAGTAATGGTCCACACATAAATTTCTACGTATCACGCACATTAAATGGCAGAAAATTCACTTTACAAAGCAAAACAGTACAAAACCACTAGCCTTGCGGCTCTATAATAGACTTGTCTTTTCGCAGTCTAAGGATTCCTAAGATAACATTTGAAGCAGGAAGATTTAATCCTAAAATTAAAGGCATTTCCGAAATATGGCGGGAATATTCCTGGGTCTCTAGAAGCCAGTGGTCTAAAAGACCAAAAGCCCGTGACCCCGACGTGATTCGAACACGCAGCCTTCTGATCTGGAGTCAGACGCGCTACCGTTGCGCCACGAGGTCCTGCTGGGCTGTGGCTCGCGCAGTTTCTTAGGACTCAAGTATCATGGCATTTTTCCCGGACACGCGGTTTTTTTTTTCACTTTTCTTGCCTCTCCGCCCAGTGAAGACTGGAACTGGAAACTGATCCTTTTAGCACCCACATTCTACTGAACGCTAACCCTCTACATAACTTGGGGCGGAACCAGAGGAGGCGGGAGAACGAGTTTCCCTTTCAGTCGAGTCCCCAGGGTCAAGGGAGACGGTTCCTTCCTCTTCTATAGCAAGCAATTTCCGTTCTTACCCGCCCCTTTAGGCGCGGAACTCCGCCTTCCCTCTCCCCTCCCCCCTCGGGTTCCGCGCGCCGAGTTCGTGACCTCCAGCTGGAATTTGGCGGGCGTAACTGCGCATGCGTGCATGCGTGTGCCTTTGCCAGCTAGCTGCTGGTAGCTAGAGCCAACCATCTAACGCTTTAGTCTCAGGATAGACTTTTATTTCACGGTGAGCATTAAGCTTAAATGTCATTATTTTTAAAGATGCGATTACAAAAGATGTTTTGTATTATATATTTGTCAGCGGGTTTGCACCTCGTAGTTGAATTATAGGAGAAATAGCGATTTGATTGGTAAAAGGTGCCGACCTCCCCGTCGGGGAATTGAACCCCGGTCTCCCGCGTGACAGGCGGGGATACTAACCACTATACTAACGAGGAACTGTCGGTACCACTTTTCCTAAGTATGTCTTTGAAAGTAGAAAAGATTCCTCCCTGCCAGGCTGATCTCCTTTCCGCTTGCCACCCGGAAGTGTGACAATCCCAGACACCTGGACCTCTGCTCTGTCTACTGTCTATCCCCTTTGAGCATCTTGGACTCTTCGTCTGTGGAAAGAGTAAATTATTTAAAATAAGTGAAACAAAATGCGCATCCAGTTTTAGTGGTGGTGAATTGTTGAAAATAATTTTCCGGAGCTCTTTATGCCTTACACATGGTTTAAGTTTCTTGCTGGAGTGTTTATTTAAGAGTGACCAAGAGGATGTGAGTTGAAGCAGAACTTTACCTTCACTTATTTATATTTTCATTCTGAAGTCGAAGTCCAAGGATATCATATGGTTGCCAGATGTCCAGGGCGGCCAGGGTTGTCCCACAGTACAGTGCCTCTTCAAACAGTGTGTAAGCTTTTGCGACACAAAAGGGCTCATGCATTGGACCAACTGAGGCCAGCTGAAATTCTCTTAGCTGATTTTTTTCCCCCTGTGTTTCGGTCTCTTTCTTGAGGCGTCTACAGTTTACTCGAAGATGACAAATTCGTAAGTGGTAAAATAATAATACATTTAAATAATTCAAAACAAGATGTGTCATTAATTAAACATAGGGTTGGGAAGGTTAGCTAATAGAATAATTTGCACCGTCCTTAGCTTTTTCATAAGCAGGATCAAACCTGTTCTGAGGAGGACCTCACACATAAACTTTTGACATTATCTTTAATGAAAATTCACAGAGTCACAAACTGACTTTGAAAGTTTTCATTGTAGAACTTAAGCTTACATGTCTTAAGGAATCCATTCCTTGTAGTGTACTATGAATTATTACTTTTTTTTTGATCATAGATTACAGGTTGTTTTCCATCTGATGAAAGGAATTATTTAATCCAGACTTTTAGGTAATTTCTGAGGCCTGTTTTGGCATATTTTTTTTTCACTCTTAAATACACCAATGGCCTTGAAAAAATTCCATGCTCTGTGGCCTCCTTCTACTTCTGATTTTCCAGTAACTCTTGTGAAGTCCACAGGGCACTGTACTCACTATGCTGACGTCTTTTTCCTTGTAAGACTGAAAGGATTTGTCCCAGGTCTCTCTGTTGGCAAAACCTCCTGTCTTCACCCCTCCCCCACCTCGGAGGAGCAGAGGCTTAATCCAGTCCGTTTAGAAGAGACATCATCCCCTCCACCTAAGCTGTGATAAAGCTATGCCAGTGTTCACACATGTGTTCTTCCTTTTTTTTTTTCCTCCCTAGGGAAATGAAGGAGCAGCCTGAGTCAGCAGAGATCATGGAGCAGGAAACTAACTCAGCACCTGCTGTCCATTTTCCTAAAATGGAAAGGAAGAGAGGATAATTAACCTGAACAGGGTAAGGGAGCTCAGAGATTCCTCATTGTCAGCACTGGGTGAAAGTAAAGGTTAAAATCTGACTGGCAGCAGAGAGAGCACAGAACTCTCTGGAGGTGAATAGCGTGATGACAGTCGACATTATTGAACGTTTCAAATCTTGATCCACCTAAATAACTAGTTGTCTAGCTTATCACAGCTTGTAGAACCATTCACATTCATCTCTTCAACAGTCCTGTGAGGTCGATAGGGCAGGTGTTTTATCCCTGTTTTACAGGTGGATAAAGAATTTTATGAAGTCACATGGATAGAAGTGGTACTAGGCTAGGAATCACCCAAGCCTTGACTGCAAATCTTGTGCAAAACTCACCCTGCTGTATAGTTCCACATACATTAATAAATACGTGCTATGGAGAGAAAATCTTTATCGCTAGTGTAAACATATGTGTGTCATGATTGTTCCTGTATTCACTAATTCTCTAATTGCTTAGGCACTGTGGCTACTCATTCACTATTGAACCTAAAATGTTCCAGACATTGTTTTAGACCTATGGGGAGGTTTTAATGGATACATTTTGTTTTGGGGGAGCTTATATTCTAATAGAAGGAAGATAATAAACAATGAATGTAATAAATGAATATGCTAGATGGTGACAAGGGTGGAAATAGAAAAAAATAGCATTATAAGGGAGTCTAGAGAGGAGCAAATTAAATACAATGGTCAAACAGGCCTCATTTTAATAAGGCAGTATTTGAACAGACTTGAAATAAGAGGTGTAGTCATATAGCTGGTTACAAGGACTGTGAAGCTTTAGAGGCTATTGTAAACACTTTGGCTTTTATTCTGGGGAGAAATGAGCAGCTGTAGGGTTTTGAACAGAGAGGTGACCTGTTCTGATTTATGTTTTAAAAAGGTTTTGGCTACTGGGTTGAGAATAGACAATCGGGGGCCAAGAACAGGAGCAGGGAGACCAATGAGGTCTATTGCAATAACCAATGTGGAAGGTGAGGTAGTTAAAACTAGTGTGGGAGTTGTGGAGAATGCGACAGGTGCTGATAGATTTTTGAAAGTGGAGCCTGTAGAACTTCCTGACAGCCATGAATTCAAGTGTAAGAGTAAAAGAGGAGTCAAAGATGCTTCTAAACTTTTTGGCTTGACCAACTGGAAGAACAGAGTTGCCATCAACTGAAATGGAGAATAGTGTGCAATTTCAGGGGCACCATACTGATAGCCTACGTGAAAGGACAATAATTCCTGACCCCTTTAAGGCCCTTCTAGGTACACCAAGAAGCACATTGACATGAGACATATTAATAGGAAAAAATAAAATTTTATAGCACACACAAGGAATCCATACAGACGTGGAAATTCTGAAGACAGACAAAATGAGGTATATATGTCATTATGAACTGAGGAGAAGGGAGTAAGGGTCTTGGAGGAATGCATTCTTCAGGAAGAATGAAAAAGAGTAAATATTTGAAAAAAGAGTAATATTTGGTAAACAAATGTTTGCTGGGCCACTCAGAAACAGTGGGACAAAGAGAGGACTTTAATAAAATAGGCCTTGCTAGATTCCTCTCTGTCTACCATATTATAATGTAGTTACATATATCTCAGTTCTTTAAGGCAGTTTTAGGGTAGCTAAAGAGCTTTTTCTGAATTCGCTATGTTTGGATTGCTTTAAAAATTTTTTTTTAATTCTAATTTATTTTTGAGCTGTCAGCGCAGAGCCTGACAGGGAGCTCAAACCCACAAGCTGTGAGATCTTGACCTGAGTTGAAGTCAGATGCTTAACTGACTGAGTCACCCAGGCATACCTGGATTGCTTTTTAGCTCAAAATAATCTTAATGCCAAAGTGGCCCATTTCAGGGCAGCCTCCCTTGGCCCCCAACAAGGGGCACCCTGAGTAGGAGGCAAGACACCATTCACACAGATGCTCTGTGGATGGCACTACTTCAAAGTGTGCAATATGTGAGCTCAGCACATGGAGCAGTATTGTTAGGGATAATAAGCATTTCAGTTTTGGATGTGTTAAGGGTGAGATATTGAGTAGGTAGTTGAACATAATGGTTGAATACTCATTGTATAGGTCAAGCATTGTGCTGGGTGCTCGAGGTGCTATGATGAACAAAGACCCCAAACTCAAGGAACTTTTATTTGAGAGGAGAAGACACATCATGAATCAAAGAATAATTAAGCAACAACAAAAAAGTGAAATTACAATTGTGACAGTTACTAAGAAGATGCAGAAGGAAGAGATTTCTTGGTAGATGGGACTGCAAAGGTTATAGAAACTGAAGAAATGTGATGAATAGAGGGGTTGAAAGAAGATGGAAGTGGCTAGAGATTGTGAGGAGGATTATAGGAGAGATCAGGCTGCAAGGCCAATGGGAGTAGGCTGGGTGATACAGGATCTCTCAGGCTGTGTTAGCTTTTCCTTGGCCTGTTATTAATTTTTAAAATAAATGTGTTTGGGGGTGCCTGGGTGGCTCAGTTGGTTGAGCGCTCGACTCTTGATTTTGGCTCGGGTCCTTGTCTCAGGGTCATGTGATCAAGCTCCACAGGGAGCCCCAGTTCTCTCTCTCTATCTCTCTCTCTCTGACCCTCTCCCACTGCTCATGGTCTCTCTCTCTCTGAAAAATAAAAAAATAAAACAAATGTGTTTATTAATTTTAGGTTTTATTGAGTTATAGTTTACATACAGTAAAATTCATTCTTTTTTAGGGGTATTGTTCTATGAATTTTTATCACAATCAAGTTATAGACTATTTTTTTTAAGTTATAGATTATTTCTATTACTCGTATCTCTTTCATCACTAATTTTCCTTATGCCCTTTTGCAGTTAATCGCTTCCCTCCAACACTAGGCACCACTGATATGATTTCCATTTCCTGACTTGAATGCCATATTATTGGAAATGTACAGATTGTAATCTTTCAAATATGGCATCTTTCAGTTAGAATGATGCTTTTTGAAGTCATCCACATTGTTTCTTCTATCAGTGGGATTTTTTTCCCCACTGTTGATTAGTGTACTATTGAATGGATGTTTATCCAGTCGCTAGTTGATGGACATTTGTTGTTTCCAGTTTTTGACTATTATAAATATAACTATTATAAACATTTCTGTTGTTAAAAATAAACAATAGGCCAAAATGGAGTCACTTTTGTTATACCCCAAAAAGGCATAACCTAGTTGTAGTTTCAACATCTCCCAGGAGTGAAATTTTAAAACAACCAGTCTGGAATTGCCTAATCAGCACTTGTGAGGTAATCTGCGTGTTAAGACCACCTCCTCTTCCCCTTAAGGGAAAGGTGAACTTGCCTGAAACAATCTTTTCTTTTGCTAACAACCTTCCTGTTTCAGCCTATAGAATTTATTTGGTACAGTTCTTTGCAGCTCCCTTCTACTTGCTAGATGGGATGCTTACTGATTTATGAATCATTGAGTAAAGCCATTTTGATCTTCAAATTTACTCAGTTGAATTTTGTTTTTTTAACAGTATACAGCATTTTGCATCTTTCTTTCTCCTGGGTCAAAACTAGGATTGAATAGTTTGGTCTTAGGGTGAGTGTATGTTTGCCTTTATAAGAAACTGCCAAACTATTTTCCTAACTGGAATATTTTACATTCTCAGTAACAATAAAGGAGCATTCTTATTGTTCTACATTTTTGCTAGCATTTGATATTATAAGTATTTTTTATTTGAGCCATTCTTCTAACTATGTAGTAGGATCTCTTTGTGGTTAATAAAACTTTCCCGAATTATTAATGATGTTGAGCATATTTTCATGGGTTTATTTTAAGCATCTTGATATTTTGCCTATTTTTCAGTTGGATGGTTTTCTTATTGAATTTTGAAAGTTTTTTTTAAATATGTTCTGATTTCCTTTTTTTTTATTTCTTGTTTTTTAAAATCTGTAATATATCTTGGGATATATCAACACATATATAATATATCTTGGGAGATGCATTTCCCCCTAAGCTGTGTCTGATTTTTTTTCATTCTCTTAAAGAATGTTTGATTTTATCAGAGCATTCATGACCTGGTTTCTTGTGTTTCTTCCCTTTTTTATCTATTATTTTCACTTCCTCAATTCAACCTTTGAACATAGTGTAAACAAGAACTTGGGCCAGCTCACTACCCAACATTCTGTTTCTTCCTTTTCTCCTCTTCCATAATTAAAGAAGATCCTAAATTGCTCCTGGGTAGTTTTTGGATTCTATAATCATTCATTCACAGAAACATGATTTACATTTATTAAAATGCAGAAGTTCCTATGCAAATATTGAACCCTCCATAAACATTAATATTCAAATTCAAAGGTGAATGTTTATGATTTGGGCCCAGAAGACAGACCTAGCTGGGAACAGGTTTAGATTATAAGGGAAAAAAGAAATCCTATTGAGGATGCTTGTACTTCACTATTTCATAGCCTAATTTATTTAAATAATCCATAGTTAAAACTGAGAGGCAAAGGGGGGTGATGGGCATGGGGGAGGGCACTTGTTGGGATGAGCACTGGGTGTTATATGTAAACCAACTTGACAATAAACTAAGAAAAAAAAACCCTGAGAGGCAAGCATCTTTTCCCTTCCAGTAAAATCAACACTTTAGTCTTTTCTTTCTCATTAAAAAAACCCAAAAACAGTGTTGTTGATCTATTCTTTGTGCCAGGCATGGAATTAGGCATCGGGGACAAAGATATGAGTAATATTCACTTCCTGCCCTTGAAGAACTCAGATTTCATAGGGCAGGTGGACTGCCTGGACTCCTTTACTAATGAGTTTGTTAAGTGCTATAGTGGAGGCATAGTCCATGCTTCTGGAGAGTCCACTACAAATAGGCTCTGTTTAAGTGTTTTACATAAGATAACTAGTTAATGTATGTTACAATCCTGTAAGCTTGGTACAGTAATTCTTCTACTTTTACAGATGAGATTGAGGCACAAAATGGTTAAGGTCACACAGAAAGTGATGGAAATAGGTGCAAAATACTATGGGATTACAGAGAAGGAAGGACTGGCTCTGCCTGAGGTTTTCAAAGAAAACCTGCTTTCAACTCCGCCCTCCAAAGATGATGATGAGGCTTGAAAGAGGAGGCAAGGGGCATCTGGGTGGCTCATTTGGTTGAGTGTCTGACTCTTGGTTTCATCTCAGGTCATGATCTCATGGTTTGTGAGTTTGAGCCCTACATTGGGCTCTGCCTTGTCAGTGTGGAACCTGCTTGGAATTCTCTCTGCCCCTCCTCCATTTATTCTCTTTCTCACCTCTCTCTCTCTCAAAATAAATAAACTTAAAAAAAAGAAAGAAAGCAAGAGTATATGGGGATATTGGACAGTAGAAGGGCTGCTGCTGGTGGGATAGGGTTGCAGGAGGCAGGAAATGTCTTCACCATTCATTATAATGCAGAGTAGGGATAGGTAAACATCACAGACTTTGAGGAGCTGGCAGGAACCTTACAGATCTTTTCAATCCTTTCATTTATATAGGTAAGGAAACTGAGGCCCAGAGAGCTCTAGTGATTTTCCTAATTCTCAGGGCCAAGAATGTCACCACTTTTCATTTTATTTTGTTGCAGCGATGCAAAGGAATCCAGGGCACCTGATCTTGGCATCATCTTCCCTGTGGCTGTCTCTTCCTGGGCTGGTCTCAGCTTCTTTTCCTTTGAGGAAAGCACCTGCTGCCATTTGTCTCAGGCCTTGAGGTCATTGACCTTTCTGTTCCTGACTTTTTCCTTGCTGACCACCTACTGGAAGCATTAGGAATTGTGGTAATTGATTTGCCCGGGCTTATGGCAAGCACTGACCCCACTGGGAAGACCCCTGGGTTCCATTGAACCACACTTTTCTCAGTTCTCAGGCAGCTGGAAGGACAAATCCATTCTGCTTATTTGGGGTGGGATGAAATAGTGTCTACTTTACTTTAGTCTTCACCTGTTTCCTCTTCCAAAAGCAAAGCAACAGAAAAATTCCTACTTTAAATGCACTACTCAGGTCTGGCATTGAAGTGCCATCTTAGGAGAAAAGCTGCCTGTAGCATTTTGAAATTTCTAACTTCTATTTGTGAGTTACTCATGTGGTTAGCAAGGTTATTAGAATTTATTGATGAAAACGAAGTTGATAGTACAATAAATGAGAGGAAAACTAGCACAAAATAGTATGCAGAGTACTATTTTTATATGCATTTATAAATATTTAAGAAAATTCAAGTTTATTTAAGTAATCTCTACACCCAATGTGGGGCTCAAACTCATGAACCTGAGATCAAGGGCAGCATGCTTCACAGTCTGAGCCAGTCAGGCACCCCTGCATTTATAAATATTGAAAGAAGTCTGGAAAGAAATACTTGAAAATATTAAAAGTAGTTATATCTGAATTAGAACATGTTGATGATCTCTGTTCTTTTGGCTTTTCTATTATTTTTCAAGTTTCCTACTATGTGTATATATTATATTTGAACGCAGAGAAACAGTAAGTTTTTTTTAAGTTACTAATACCAAGGAAAGCAAATAGCTTACATGCACACCTGTGATGGTCTTCCCTAAAACTATAGTGACGAATCTCTTATACTCTGATTTTCCTTGTTAGTTGAAGATTTCATTTTGCATTTTAAATTGTTTTACTTCTTAAGGCAGGGCGGTGAAGGGATGAGGAAGCAAACTTCAACGTCAGTAAAACAGGGCGTGCAGCCTTTTTCCCTTGTCCCTTTGTCTTCCGGCCCTTATGTTCCCAGTCTTTTGTTGTTCTCTGCAAGGATTTTGATTCAGGATTTAGAGAAAAACAAGTGCCGGCCCTCTGTGCGCCCTCTGGTGTCCCAGTGAGGTATAGCCAGACATAACCCACAAAGATCACAGCCATTTTCACACAACACTCACCCCACGTGGTGATGCCTGGAATGAGAATGTCTGGCATTTTAGAGGAAGGAATCACACACCAACAAGCTTGGCAGATTTAGTCTTTGAAACTACAGGTGTGGCTATTGAGTTTTAAAAAACACTTAAAATCAGCATCAGCATATTTAAAAGAGTCTAATAAGTCAATTCTGAAAGCATTCAGACAGGTTTCTGGTTTCTAAAACTAAGAAAGTCAAACTTTGTTCTATAATCATAGTAAGTAAGTCAATACTTTGAATTAGTTGTTAACTCATTAGGTGAAAGAGGTCGGGATACTTAGGTTTTTAGATTGACTCCTGATAATGCCACTTTGAGCTTTATCAGTAAATTATGAGACTTGATACTGAAAGTCCCTTTTATTTTTTTTCTTTTAAAGTTTGTTTGTGAATGTATTTATGTAGGTGAGTAATCTTTACACCCAACATGGGGCTCCAACTCATGATGCTGAGATCAAGAGTCTCATGCTCTTCTGACCCAGTCAGGCACCCCTAAAATTCCTTTTTGTCTATAATTTACATATTTGTGTTGCATTTTCCATCAAACTATGCATTTTTAAACATTACATTTTCACTGAAAAAAAAAAAATAAAACAGCAACAACAGTAACAGCAACAACAAAAAGCCCCACAAAGCAATCCAGAGCAGGCAAATAATATTTTTGGTTTAAATATTTATGAATTGATAAGATCTCAAGCTTTAAATTTTATTTGAATAGGTGTTGGGAAAGCAAAACTTTACCGCTGTTCTCTTAAGATCTGCACTGGGCCTGAGAATTAAATTGACATAAAACAGATTAACAGGAGAAAAGCATACATCTTTTACTTGTGCATGGGGGCTCGCCATAGGAAAATGAAGGCTCAAAGAAGTGGCAAAACCTAAATGCTTCTATACCAGGCTGAACAAAGAGAGGTGATTGTGGACAAAGAATCAAAATATATGAGGAGGCTAATGGAAGATAAGAGTTATTTTAACAAGATCTGTTTGTACAGAATCTGTCAGCCTTGACACCTCATCTCTGGTGACAAGCTTATTTCTTTCCTTTTGGTGTAAGAAGGATATCTTTCACTTAGGAGTTTTATCTCCTGCTTGTAGGAAGGGAAAGGGGAGGTCAGAGCTCCCTTCTCAAACCTGCTATTTTCCAAATTGTTTTTCCAAAATAATTTCTATGCCAAAGTGGCATGTTTTGGGGGGCATATTCTGCTATCTTTCGTAGGGAATTCATGCACAAAATATGAAATTCAATACGTACCAAAAGGTATACAGAGGAAAAGTCTGTCTTCTGTGTCAAGTGATGTGAAGATTGGTTCATTCGCTCACCAAGATCATCAAGAACTCTGGGTTCTTCTGTTTGCTCTGGTCTTCCTTCTCTGCAACATTATGCAAATTAAAAAACATTTTTAAATGTTTATTTATCTTGAGAGACAGAGACAGAGCACGAGCAGAGGAGGGGCAGAGAGAGGGAGAGACACAGAATTTGAAGCAGGCTCCAGGCTCAGCTCTCACCACAAAGCCTACATGGGGCTTGAACCCATGAATCATAAGGTCATGACCTGAGCTTACCTGCCTACCTGACCGAGCCACCAAGGCACTCAACCCTATGCAAATTGACTTCTCTTTTCATGATAGTCACTTTGTGGTTAAGAGATAGGTGCTGCAGCTCCAGGCGTCATAACCACTTTCAAGGTTGGAGCATGAGGGGGGAGGCAGTTCCAACAAATGCTCCTTTTGAATTTGTCCCTTTTAATAGGAAGAAAGCCATTCTAGAAGCACTCTGGAGGTTGTTTTCCCATGTTTCTTTAGCCACTAGGATATTACAAGGAGGCTGGGAAAGTGAATATCTGGCAAAAGGAAATGAGTAGTGATTACAGTATCAGTTTTTAGTATTCTAGTCGTCTGTGCTGTTTTTAAGAACTGAAATTTGTTAGCATAATACTATTTTTCCTTAATTTAACAGTAATGCTTTAATCAGTTTTATATCTGGAGATATGCCCAGAAAATTATAGATTGCATTAACATTTGAATCAAAGGCACATGTTTTGAAATAATTCTGACCACATCCTTATTCTTTTTGAAATCCTTCCAAGGCTTCTTACTGTTGATTTAATTTCAATTTTCTCATTATTAAAGAAGTTGAGTATCTTTTCATATTTATTTGTCATTTGTACTTTCTCTAAAGCTGGTTTGGGTCCTAATTTCCCTCCAGAGTGGACCGGAGGATTTCTCTAAAGCTGGTTTGGGTCCTAATTTTCCTCCAGATTGGACCGGAGGACTCCTGGTACATCATGTTAGGATGGACGGGCATTGTTAGATCAGCAAATGAGACGGCGGTGGTATCATCCTTATCTCAGGATTGCTAGAATGACTGTATTTCCTAGTTTGCCTGGAACAATCCCAGTTCATACGTGCTATCCCAGTGTATTTTTTTTTTTTATCACTAACACTCCATTCACTCTCAAAACTGTGTCAATTTGGCTGAAAATCAGATAGTCATCTCTTATTTGAGATATACACCAAAATATTACAATTGCCATTTGGCTCTGGAATTTCCATTAGTTGGTGCAAGATTACCATGAAGATTAGAATTTGGTCCGCTTGCTTCACTGTTGTATCCCGAGAGCCTAGGACAGTGCCTAGGACACAGAAAGTGCTTAATCACTGTGAATGAATCAGTAAATAAACTCATTACTTGGAGTTTGGCACATTGCCACCTGACCAACTGGATTCTGTCAGTGAGTAATATGGAGGAATGATTTTGGGGTCTACAACTAAGGGTGCCTGCCAAAATATGCATTTTAGATTTTGATAGATATTGTCAAATTGTTCTCCACAGGGGTTGAGCCCGTTTACACTCCCACTGGCAATATGTGAGAGCATCTGTTTTTCTAACCTTCGTCTACATGGTGTTATCAAAATTTTAATCTGACAATCTGGTAGTTTTAATTTGCATTTCTCTTATTATGGCGAAGATTCAGCATATTTTTCTATGTTTAAAAGCCATTTGAAATACATTTCCTGGGAACTTTTTGTTCATTTACTTTACCCATTTTGATTAAGTTATGGGTCTTATTCATTTGTAGGAATATAAATTGTTGTTCCTAGGATTTTTTAAATGTCTTTTGAGTTTGCTTATGGTGTTTTTTTCTTTTTTTAATCTTTATTTATTTATTTTGAGAGGGATGGGGAAAAGGGCAGAGAGAAAGGGGGACAGAGAATTCCAAGCAGGTTCTGTGATATCAGCACAGAGCATGATGTGGGGCTCGAACTCACAAACTGTAAGATCATGACCTGAGCCAAAACTGAGAGCAAGATGCTTAACCCACTGAGCCACCCTTGTGTGGCTCTGTTTTAGTCATATTCTCCACTCTCTTCCTCAAGAGGTAACCACTATCCTGATTTTTTAAAAAATATTTTTATTTATTTCTAGGAGAGAGACAGCATGAGCAGGGGAGGGTCAGAGAGAGGGGAAGACACAGACTCTGAAATAGGCTCCAGGATCTGAGCTGGCAGTCAGCACAGATCCCGATGCGGGGCTTGAACCCACGAACCGCGAGATCATGACCCAAGCGAAAGTCAGACGCTTAACCGACTAAGCCACCCAGGTGCCCCACCACTATCCTGATTTTGGGGGGAATTATTCCTTGCTTTAATTTTTGCTTTTATCACTTATAGGTATCCTTGGATAATACCATTGTTTGGATTCTTGACAATTGAGTGGCAAGCACAACCTTAGGGGCAGGCTCTCGAAAGAGAAGCTGAGTTGATCTCTGAGTAAAGTTTAGGCCCAGTGTGCTTCAGAGAATCCATGAATTCCTTCCGAGAGGTTAGGGGTCAGGATCAAGAGTGAGTTCTGGGAAACACAGACTATACCACAGCTGGGACACCTAGTAGAAGTGTAGTTTGCATTAGGTAACAGACATCCGCAGAAATACAGTCGGGGTAGGTGCCTCTCCGGCTGATGCTTCCTTGATCTCTGTGGCCTCTCCCCTGTTCTCAAGAGGAAATCTTTTCTAAGAATTTTACTGTATTTTATTTTAATTTTTAAAAAAGATTTTGTATTTTTAAGTAATCTCTACCTCCAATGTAGAGAATTTCACAACTCTGAGATCAAGAGTCACATGCTCTATTGACTAAGCCAGCCAGATGCCTCTGTCTCAGAATTTTAGAGTCCTTTTTGAAGTTTTCCTCTCTGTT